CAATCCACATATTTTTAATTAACATATTATTAAAATATAAAGTTGATTTTGATTAATAATAAATTACTGGGCTGTAAGATTATTATTTATCATAAATTATCTCTTATACTTACTGACCTATGCTATATCTGTGCTTGCTAATAATTCTAATATAGTTGCTGGCTATGATTTGTTAAATATGCTATTTACAAATAAGATATAGAAAAATATTTCTGCTAAAACCATTTTGGGGAGTCTCTAATATTTGCTACCTATCATTTTAGTCCAACTAATTATCCAAAGATCTGTATTACTGTGCATGTGTGTATGTATTCACATTCATAATATTATATATATACAGTTTTCCAATTATCCAAATAGGTTTTGAAATTTTGTCAGTATAAATGTTAACCTATATAACTTGATATTTTAGCATTCTTTGAGAATTAAATCATGAAAAAAAGTAGTTTTTTCCCACCATCAGGGATTTTCTTTCTCTTTTTGTTCATCTAAACACATCCCAAAGGTTGAAGCAAATATAATCAGATATCTAAAAGCAAACAATGGGACTATTGTCTTTTGTCATATTTATTCAAGTCCTTTTTATTGCAAAATTCAGTGGTTCATGAAGGTTTTCAAGTTCGAATGTAAAGAGGCAAATCAAATGCAGTGGGTGTTTCCAGTTTCAAGGCCTTGAGTGCCCAGGAGTTTAAACCCTGACAGTGGAGCCCCTCACAGTGAGCATCGTATTTAGAAAGAGTTTATAGGTGGTTGTAATGGCTTAATACAGTTTCAGATTGCTTTACTTTGGTTTAAAAAAAAGCATCATTATATATGAGAATCATAAAATTACTGGATGACTTATGTTTCTCTCATTAATGATAAATGGGATGAGAAGAAATTATTTTTTGATTAGTGTAAGAATAATGGTATCCCAGAATACTGACTGCAGCGTGGCAGTCACTGCATTAGAGCCATCCGTTTCGCAGCAGACGTCTGAAGGCCTAGGCACATCACTGAGATTTTGGGACTAGAAAGTGTATGAGTGAATACTGGAAAGATATATTTAACTTTGGTTACAGAATTTGCTAATGTCATCATCATTATCTTAATTTATAACTTACGCATTCTGAAGTAAATTTTAGTATTGAGTTGCTCTTTGAAAACACATGTCTAATTCTATTAAAAATGATTCATTTTATTGTGTCTCGAATACTGCTATATTTTATATATTGCATCTTGATATGAATAGCCAATCTCACATATCTCCAAATGTACAGAGTTCTAGATACTCCAAATTCACTTTTTAGGAGGTGAGTTTTTATTAGACTTGATATATTTTTAACAAGAGTATGTAGAGGCCTGATAAGCCAGAAGATACATAGTCCTCATGACTGTTTAGCAGGCACCGAAAAAGAACAGAATGCTTAATCCTTAAAGTGTCAGCTTTTGGAAATCTTATTTATTTTCTGTTGCTTAATTATTTCTTCATTGCTGATTTGATGAAAATCAAACTGAAATACATTTCTTCCAGGAATATGGATTCTTTTTTTTTTTTTTTAAAGTAAATGTAAAATGTAATTGGGCTTGGATTATATCATTCCTCTTATTCAAAGAAATATGCTGGCTTCTGCGTTATTTTGGAGGGAAACAGAAGGCATTCCTTTAAGCTTGAAGGTCGTTTCGTATCTGGCTCATATAGGGATGAATTCTCTGTAACACCATGCTTTACAGCAGAACCGGAAGGAGAAAGGGGGGCTGCAGTTTCTTCCCAGGCCTCCTGGGAGCCAGACTGCTGTTCGTCAGTGTTTGCACCTGCATGAGCGGTGAAGGCTGCCTTGAACAATGCTGATCAACTCAATTCTATTCTCTACCTCCCGCCCCCTTCTCTTCCTGGGGAATCTGGCTTTCCTGTCACTCAGGATAATGATTTCCTGCAAGCATCACTGAGATCCAGAAAGTCACTGTAATCTCATCAACAGTGTGATTCCCCAGCTGGGACTCTTGAATTTATATAACCCAAAGGTAGCTGGTTAGGGTGCATAATCCCCCACGTTGGTCCTCGGAGCACCAGCACCATTTGAAATGGAAGTCCTCTGACAAAAATGACCTCATTAGCTGACAAAATTAGAGACGATACATCCCCAAATTAGTACAGTCAGAAACCTGTAATTTAATGCACTATGCTGCCTGTGAATTTAACCGAATACGTTACAATGTTGTTTCACCAAAAAGAACAGTTCAGGCCTAACATACATTTCCAGTGAGCCCAGTGAAATCTGGGCAGTCGATTGGCCGCATCCTGTGTTTTGTGTGGCCTCTGGGACTCTAAGGAGCTCTGTGACTTTTTAACCCTGAATTCAAACTGTTAGAGAACTCTTACTTCAAGTGTCTAGTGAATGCCTTGAAAATTTGTTCTAATAATTACATCAGAGGTTTTTTATTTTCTCACTTATTTTACGTGATTACCCAACTAATCGTTTTTAGGCTTATGACCTCAAAGATATAAATGGAAGAGAGAAATCATTTTTAAGAGATGCGTTCCTGCTTATCTTCTTCCTTCCCCTGGAGCAGAGGATTGTCCATATCCTCATATATGAAGATATATACAGGTCTCAACATATGCACAGTAATGTGTACACATCACAGAGCTATTTTGTGACAGATCATGTTAGCATAGAAAACCTGTTCTCTGCTTTTCCCATTGCATTATCTAATTTTTGTGCTAACAAGCATTGAGAAGTACTTATCTCTTTTTCCCACAACAGTGACCTTTGATCTCAGGTGGCATTTTATAAAGCTTACTTTTTCTAAATATTACAAATAACATTGAGCAATGGAAAGGGTCACAGGCAGAGCAAAGAGCTGGAAAATAAATTTTAAAATGTATCTAAGACATAAGGAGTTCATCTCATTTAAAAAATGTACTTCATGTAGTTTTTGTTTATCTTCATAAACATATGTTTATCAAGATACAAAATTATATAAGTATATATTGACAATCTTGTTTCCAGTTGGCATCTGAGAGTAGGTTGGCATCTCTAGGTCATATACTATACATGTCAATGTGAATATATGCGGGTATATATACACATGTCTATTTTTCATGTGTGAATCTGTAATCGCATGGATATGTCTTGATCTAACTTGTTAAAATGACTACATTTATATAAGTATGCATACTTAAATAAAATTTATTCTTAGTTGGCATCAGGCAGCAAGTTAGCATCTGGTATAAACTTCTAAGTTTTTATTTACTGCGTGTGTGTGTGTGTAGCATAAATATTAGAATGAATATACGTTTCTTGTTACTTCATATAGTTCCTTTAATAAGTAAATGCATGTAAGCGCATTTATAATTATTACATTTATCATTCGAAAGTTAATTTTAGAAAGCAGTAAAGGGTTTTTTCTTGACAACCAAACAAATAATAGGGCTCCAGGTATGCATAGTGAACTGAAGAGAAGAAAACAGATGAAACCATGAGGAGTGAGAAATAAAATACTAGTAAGATAAGTACCACTTTTTATGGGAGCAATGGATCTTTTTGTTTGTGTGTTTTTAGGAAATACTTGACACATTAAATGTTTTTGTATACACCTATGTACAAATTTGGATCAGATAACCTTTGTTTTTTCTTAGCACATTCATTTGGAAATGTATTGTGGTGACTATGAGGATGTTTTATAAAAGATTATTTTAAGTACAGATAATGAAAACAATTTTACTTTCCAGAATGGTTGTTTTATACATTTAAATTTCAATTGACATCTTGATCAATTAATACACTTTTATTTTTAGATGACATTACTTCAGGAAGACTTTGTCAATCAAATAAGTCATGTGTGAGAAAGTAAATAAAAGCTGACCTCAATTGTCAAACAGCATTTAAAGTAGAACTTTTTATCTATTCTCTGAAATACAAAATTCAAGTACTATTAACACTGTGTGTTAACACTACAAGGTGTGTGTGTAGGGGGGTGTTGTGTGTGTGTACATGTTCTTCTATACCTATTCAATATTTTGGTAACAGTAAACCTACGATTAACGTACTTACTTATCCCCATCCCCAGCAGCCATTTTAAAGTCTACACAGACTTGTTGGACTAGTCTAACCAGGAATGCGATTAACTCTCTGTCATTTGCCCTTATAAGAAAATTGACTCTTACCTTGTTTTTATGTACCTTCAATATGTACTCACGTGATTCTGTTAAAAAAAAAAGTGGCATAATGAATTGCTGTAATGTTAATATATAGAGGAAAATTCAATAGCTTAACTGCTATTTAACAGAAAACCCCATAGTAATATACAATTTTGGTTAAATGGTTGCTCAAACTTTTGGTGCTAGCTTATTATTCCTTTGGAATATGGTAGTATTTTTATGCTACAAAAGAATAGTTATGGTCCATTGAGTATCATTGGTTAGTATAAATTTGTTTCATATATATGACATTAATTTATTGAATATGCAGACTTACTTTAAAATAGTGGTATACTTTATCAGTATTGTTCTGATTAGATTAGATGTAGGAATGTTTAGCATTAGTAGTTAAGTGATAGACATAATATTTATGATAGTTCTGTCATAAAAGAAATTCTCCAGAACAAAAAAAAAAATGACTTCACTGAATGCTAAACATCAGTCTTACAGAGGGTGCGTGTGGACATAGCAGATGCAGATTTTAAGTACACTTGCTGGCTGGTCTTCCTACTATTGATGAATAGCACGAACCACCCCATTTATTCTGATTGCTATCCATGTTCTAGACTGTGTTCCCTCTATTTCTTTAGACCAATGTGTTTTAACTGTTATACTTAGCAAATTAGGATTAAATGCAATATTCTGATTTTTGTAACGTTCTAAGATTGAAAACTTATTTCTTTTAAATGTTGAAATATATAAGTCGTTATGTTGTATCATAGTGACTAAAAATATTGCTGAAGTATAAAGGGGAAAATTCTAATTTTATGCTGGATAGAAAGAAAGTTTAATTTATTTTCTTGCTCTTTTTTTATAGAGAACGCCTGTTCCCAGCGCTGAAGCATTCCGATGGTTCTTTTAAAGCAGTAGTGTATCTTATTTTCAAGGCATTTGGAAGTGAAGGGCAAACTAATGTCTTGTTTTAAGAAACTGCTTAGTCCACCACAGAAGAAAATATCCAGATATTATTTTCATTTTATGTATAGGGGTTTCTTCAAAAACAAAAACAAAAAAAAAGAAAAAGAAAAGAAAAAAAGACATAGAAAAATAATCTGGGAGCTTGGGGAATTGGCCAGTCTATTTACTTTCAGTACACTGATTCTTTGATGTAATTTAGCTATACTAGTGAAGTTGTTGTCTATTTTGAAAGTGACTGTAAAAAATAAGTTTGGGTAAACCCCTGATGTAAAATCATGTATCTTTGCAAAGTACATATCTATACTTCATTTTCAAATATATGTGTTTCAGTACTGTAAATTGTACAGATAGCAGCTTGTATTTTGTGTGTTTAGACACAAGGAGACAATCACGTCTGAGCATCTATGGAGATTAACAGTTTGTACACAACAGTATGGTTCTGCGAGTTAAATCTGGAGCAATAAATTTTAGCTTTAAATATTTTTCACCAGTTGTTTCTAGAAGCAGCAACAGCGGTGGCATGTTTTGCTGCGCATCTTTCCGTAGAGACTCGATGCCAAGTGTTACAAGAAGAAAACATGATGATGCATCCGGCAATTACCTGCAGTTGTATTGTTATAGGAGGGGAAGATGTGATGAAAGTTTCAATTAATCTTTTGAGCACTATATTAGAGTAGTGGTTATGCACTTGCATTGCTTACAAACGAGCTGTACAGAAGGGTATACCTCCCAAATACTTAGTGTAGTTGATTTGTTTTGGGTTGCACTGTAAGGCGGAGTACTCTGAGTAGTTGGAACATGCAGAATCAGTTGTATAATTTTTTTAAAAAAACAGTGTTTTCTAGGATACAGAATAAAGTATCATGTCTTAGGGGGAGAAATCCATGGCTGAGTTTTTTACCAGCCCAGCATGGGCTGTATGTATTTTTTGTTTGTTTATTTTTTGCCTTATTATTTTATTTTTTTGGGGGGAGTAGGAAAAATAAACAATTAAATGTATCCAAATATTATAATTCCATGTATGATATTAAATGGCTAGTTTTGTTTTAAAATGTGAACACATCAAGGTTTCTGCATTGAGGCATGGCTAGGTATATTTTTAAGGGAATTAAACACTCATAAAAGTGAGGCTTTTTAATCTTTTGTTATCATCCTTTCTCATAGCCTCCCATTTGGACCAGTGGCCTTACCCTGGGCCCTCATGGAATGTTCCAGTGCTCCATCCCCATTCTTATCACTCAATGATGCTGTCATTCCTGAGAAGGCAGGGCCCCCAGTCTGTGGAATCGTATCCATGCACACAGCCCCCAAAACAAGGGAGTAAGGCTTCCTGGCACCTGGGCTACCTTTTCATGTAGAATTTGGTTTTATGGTGGCAGTCAGCTGCTAGGGCTGTCCCAGTAGGACAAATATTATTTGTGACGATATGATACCTAAGACGTTTCTTTTTTTTCTTTTTTGGTCAGAGACTTCTCTGCTTCAGCAATAAAACAGAGTTTAGCAAAAACACACAGAGGATCGAAGGTGCCGTGTTACTGTCATTTTTGGTTCTTTACCCACTAGCCAGTTAGTTTAGCCTACAACATCATTAGCCTTTTTGAAAAATGTTAGCAAAATGTGTCATGCAAAGAAAACTAACTTGAGAAGAGAAAGGGTGATGAAGACAACTGTAAAACTTTAGAAAGACTAGCAGATAAATAATTTTTAAAAGGCGAGTTATAGTTTTGAATTGGAAGTAATATGACAGGAAATTTTTAAAAATGTGCAAGAAGCATACATCATAAAAATTCTGGAGGGTGGGGGTAGATAAGGTACTAACAAATGCCCATGTAGAGAGCAAGTGGCTTACTTCTCTAGACTATGGATGCAAGGTCTACAGATATGGTCCAATCGCCTTTTTGAGGAAAATTCGTTATGTATGTCACCTATCCAAGTTTAGAGGAGAGAATTAAATAATCACAAATTAAAACATGCTGTATGTCTGTTTTAAGATAGCTTTCTACTTGCTGTGTATTCCTTGGAGGGTTTCTAGTTAGAATTTCTAGTTCAACTGTGGGAAATGAGAGCGATATGAATTATTTCTGGTTCCCTTTTTATTTTACTTATTTTTAAAAAATAAATTTGCTAATTAATGACAAGTAAGTGAAAACTTACTTTCATTTGTGAATGGTAAGCTTACCTTGCTTTTTGCAAAATGATGATTGTTATTACTGAAGGGAAACCAACGTCTTTCTCTTCAGAATACATTAGGCATACAGTGTAAAGGTCTCATAGCGATGTACCGAGAGTCTAAAATACATGCTAGTGTTGCATGTCTTGATGTGCTTTTGTTTGTTCGTTTTCTTAAAGAACTTATGAATCTGTATATTGTAAAATGTGGTGTTTTACATGTCAATTCAATTTTTAAGGAAAGAAAATCTGTTGATTATTAAAATGGAAACGTGTAGCTTTTCTTTAATTCTCTGATATGTTCTTCTTCTTCTTTTTTTTTTTTTCATCCTCACCCGAGGGCATTTTTCCATTTTTTGTTCAGATAGAGTGGGAGGGAGAGAGAGGAAGAGAAAGAGAGAGAGAGAGAGAGAGAGAGAGAGAGAGAGAGAGAGAGAGACATAGATGTGAAAGGGACACATCGAGTGGCTGCCACCCATACGACCAACCAGAGCCAGGGACAAGCTGCAACCGAGGTACGCGCCCCTGGCGAGAACCGAACCCGAGACTCTCTGGACCGCAGGCCGACGCTCTAACCGCTGAGCCAAACCGGCCAGGGCTGATATGTTCTTATTCTTGACATTGTTCTTTTACACCACCCACTTTTTTATGTTTTTGCTAAAACCCTATTTATATAACATAGGGTGCATTATAAAGTTCTCACTGAGGATGTTGAAGAAAGATATTGCTCTTCTGGCCTCCCTCTAATTCTTTTCTCTCTGTCTATGTACTGAGGGCTTGTAAAGCACACCATGCTAACCCTAAGGGAGTGTGACCTAAAAGTGTACATTTTCATGATTTTAAAATACCAATGAAATGTAACTTTTAAAAACCCTCATTGTATGTTTTATATTCAGCACCAAGAAAATTCAGAATATACAATTAAGATATAAATCGGTGGACTATCAATTCACCTTAAAAATTACCTGTCAGATAAGCCAAATAAAAAACTTGGTAAGACAGATCTACATACACAGGGGTCTTGCTTCATCTGGGTGTAGATGAGGAGGTGCCATGCTCTGTCAGCATTTGGGGAGAGCATGGAAAATCCCCGGGCTGTTGGTGCGCAGTGCACCGATTTCCTTGTCAGCTGTCACTCAGCACCCTAACATCTCAGGAATGTCGTGATGCAAACCTCTTGCCAGGCCTTCAGACTAATGTGGCTTTCTGATGGGTTCCACCTGTCCTGGTTCCAGTGGAGGCATATATACAAAGTCGAAATGTATCCACGCCCAGGAGAACAAAACAATGTCTTCCTCCATCGTAAGAGTCTATGAAAACATCTCCTGCTTGCTTAATTTTAAATACACAACTCCCTTCTTCTAAACACATTTCTAGGGAGCAAGAGATGGGCTTCCCATGAATTAATATTAAGCAATCACTAAAAGAAAAAAAAATATTTCCTTCCTTTTATTCAGAACCCCTGGCATGTAAATTGTACAATTAATCCCAAAGCATAGAAAGTCTTTAAGCTGATAGGATCTGTAATCAAATAATGAAAAAAAAAAAAAGGAAAGCGGTTAAATGAACACACCATTCAGGGTCAAACATGTTCAGTGAAAAGCCGTAGTGGGTCTTTGATCACAGGTATATCAAACAGTTGGTTCTCATGTAACAACTAAATGTTTCAGATTTTGTTTTTATTAAATTTGGCAGTTTCACACTGAGATCTGTATTCCTAGTGAACAGAAGGCAGCTACTGTGTTAGGAGGGATTCCATTTTCACAACTGCAAGGAAGTCAGAGAAGTTTCAGGAATGGGCCACCAAATGTACTCGTTTCACAGTGCTCTCCTATTCTGAACTGTGCAGTTATCTATTACAGTTTCTAATAGATATTTGTGTAAGGTGTATGTATGCTTGTGCAATTATTAAAAAAACAGTTTTGGAAAACAGTGTATTTATTAAAGAAAATTACTTATGGGGCATGTACAAAACTGTAAAAAAAAAAAAAAAAAAAACCTTAAAAAAACACATTCAATTTGCCCAGTTGTTTTTGTGAAATTTATGTGTTGTTGAATAAAGGACTTTAGTATTCAAAATATCTCTATTTTTCCATGAACAAACTTTTATTTGTGGGATTTTAAGTAATGAGTATATGATTCTGAAAATCTAATTTTGTTTATGATGAAAAGTTTATAATTCTACACTTGCCCTTATGTTAGCAAAATGAATACTGTATATAAATCTTTCATAAAATATGCCAGTTTGTTCATTTTGTTTTTCCTCATATATTTTGTCTTTCTCGTATATTTAAAGAAGGGGAGAAAAAGAAGAACATGATTGTTTTTACATTTCCAAAGGATATAGTTTTGTAGAAAGCTTTACAGGGTCACCTAGAGGAAGAAATAAATATATCTAAACATTTTTTTTCCTTCCTCTCCATCATAAATATTCCAAGAGAAAGCAACCCATGAATTTCTTGTGAATGCAGTCCTGGTGATAGTACTTGGAAGCAGAAATGTGTAACACTGGAATTCTTCAGCTACGCCCAGCAATTCTCTGAGATTAAATATCTATTGTTCCTTCTTTATTATGGAATACTGTGGTCCAGCCATGCTGCTTATTATTTGGTGGTGAATGTGCTTAACCCTTATTTCACTGCTTCTCAGAACAAAAATCTAACTTTTTTATGTCTCGTTAACTACAAATATGTAGGGCTCAGTTTTAGAGCTTGGAGATCTTTAATATTATTGCAAATGTGAAACTTCAAACAACTGAAAGAGTTCGTGTCCACAGAAAATACCATATTAGAAGATTTTTGTAATTTTATGAATTTCAAGATGTTGTGTTAGTATAATATCACTAATATAAAATATCTTGGCAATGGTCACAGACTTGTATAAACTAGGGGTGAAAAAGAAGAATTGGTAACTT